GATCATATAGCAGAGGAGACAAATTTCTTCTCGAAGAAATTTAACATTAAGGAATTAGAGTATGCTTTAAAAAACAATAATAGTTCATGCCCAGGCATTGACGAGATAAACTATCCTATGATTAATTTTCTACCACTTAAAGCAAAACTTTTTCTCTTAGATATTTACAATGACATTTGGACTAAAGGGGCAACCATACCAAAGCTTAAGGAGATTGTTATTGTACCCATACAAAAACCAAATAAGGATCCTAACAAACCATATTCAATTCATATAGACCAATATCACTTCTATCATGTATTCTTAAAACCTTTGAACGACTTATAAAAATAAGACTTGAATGGTGGTTTGTAAATGTGAAACCACTTCCTTCTTACCAATTTGGATACAAAAAAGGGCTGGGAACAATTAATGCGTTATCTCACATTGTTACGGATATTCAAATCAATTTTTCAAAAAACTTTTATATGGGCTCCCTCTTTTTAGACTTAAAGGGTGCATATGACTGCGTGGAACTCGACATTCTGTTGAAGGAATTAATCAAATTTGGTCTTCCAGTTCCTCAAGCTAATATTATGGTATCATTGTACAGACACAGAATTCTATATGTAAGGGACTCCAATGGACAAAAACATGGATCAAGAATAGTCTCTACTGGGCTACCACAGGGCTCTATACTTAGCCCAACTCTTTTAATATATACACTGCTAGTATTCACCGTTTTAACAATAACAACTCGGTAATAACTCAATATGCAGACGATTTCTGTTGTTATGTCTCATATAAAACCTATAATATTTGTGTCAAAATGCTGGGCAAATTGTTTCATAATATAAACCAATGGCTTTTCGACTATGGCTTTAATCTCTCTATCGAAAAATCTATATCTACCATATTCACTAGACACAATACCCCAAATGTTTCTAGCATTGACCTGGATGGGCATAGTGTTCCTATAGTAATAAAGTAAAATACTTGGGCATGCAGCTAGATAAAAAACTTACGTGGGCCTCACACATAGAATCAATGATTGCTAAATGTGAAAAAGGTATTAACTTTCTTAAAATGATAAACAAAACATGGTGGGGGGCCCACCCAGATATTTCTCTAATTTTTTACAAATCATATATAAGATCCATCTTAGACTACGGGGCTATACTTTATGGCTCTGCTAGTAACAACATTTTAAAACGAGTGGTTATTATTCAAAATAAATCTTTACGTATAGCTATGGGGGCTATGAAATCAACACCTTTAGTACCCTTACACGTTGAAGCACAGGAACCGACTTTGTTACTTAGAAGAAAACTACTATCTGCAAAATTTTTGGTTAAAATTTCTTTAACAGATAACGAACTAAACACAAAAATTTCTAATCTAAACGCCTATTATTTATCAGACAATTACTGGATAAAAAAAATTCCCCACCCCTTTGTGTTGCCTTTAGAGAAAATTACGACTATTACAATTCAATTTATGGAAAAAATCTAACTTTAGAAACTTTGGATTTCGAGGTGTCTATAAGTGTCCCAGAATACTCAGAATTATCCACCATAAATAATATTATCCTAAAACAAATCTATTGTTATCACCATAATTTCGTTTATATTTATACTGATGCATCAAAAGGAGATAGCGGGGTTGGTGCGGCAGTATATATACCATCCCTTAATTACGAATCTAAAATAAAACTTAACAATTTGTTTTCTATCTATTCTGCAGAAGCGGTGACAATATGGGAAGCCCTATGTTACATACAAAGACATCATATCAGCAGAGCCGTTATATTTTCGGATTCGTTCTAATGAGTCTTCGAAAAAACATTTTAGATATAAACACTTTAAACCCAATCATATTTCAAATTAAAAATCTTTTAATTAATCTTACAAAAAATCATACCTTAATAAAATTGGTGTGGATTAAAGCACATGTTGGCATTCCCGAAAATGAACACGTTGATTCTTTGGCGAAGGATTCTATCTCTAATGGGATTGAAAGTTGTCTGCGGATTAGTGCCGGGGATACTACAAGTTTTTTTATAAACAGAATGAAAAGAGATTTTAAACAATACTTTGATGATTACAAACCTGTCACCAATAATACATATGGCCAATTAGATATCAATATAAACTCTGTAAAATGGTTTGAAAAAGTTCACAAACCTCGCCGTTTTATAACGACGATAATTAGAATGATATTTGGTCATGCCTGATATCCAAAACACTTTCATAAAATTGGTATTTTAACAAGTCCAGATTGTGAAAACTGCAAAGTCACATATTTTTTAAATGTTCCAAGTATGATCAAAAAGTCGAAAATTTAATAAAAAAATTGGTTCATCATGGAGTAAACCTCCCGGTTTGCATTCCACACCTATTATCTCTTGGTAATGTTGAAATTCTTGCCTTGCTGGTTTCTTTTTTAGGAGAGGTTGGTCTTAAATTATAGATTAGGTTAATTTTGTAAACTTTGTTTTCCTTCCTATTGTTTTCTAAAACCTTTTTATCCGTGGCCATCCTTGTGTATGTAATTGAAATGTTCTAAAAGGCCCTAGAACGAGAAGAGTGTGTCCCTGTTATAATCCCTTGTTAATCGTCTGTACTTTTCCTATTTCGTGTTAGAAAGTAGCTTATCTTAGGTGGTTGTTTTTGCCAAAATTACAAAAAGAGTGACTGGCTAAATGGACTACAGTCCAAGGCCAAAAAAAAACAAAACAAAAGCACGATACGTTGATATGTTTAGGATTAATTTCAAGGTCCCAAACAAATGCCTAAAATAGAAACAAAAAGGCATTTTGCCTAAAATCCGGTCCTTGCTAATTATCTCTACATAAAATCAGTTTAAAAAATTTAAGTTAGATATATAATATTCGTCCATTTAAATTTAAATGCATTAAAATATTACTTAAAAAAGACGCAACAGAAGTCTAATGAAAGAAAAACAGGTACCTTTATCGATTCAGGTAGTCAATCAATGCATACATGCCTTTACTGATACTTTTAAATTTATTTATATAATATAGTTTGTTACTGTGCAAGTTTTATTTAAAAAAAGCTTTGCTACACTAAAAAATGGAACACGCTTTAAAATTTTTATAATAAACCCGTCCTTTCAAAAAATACAAGATTCGACAAAAATTAAACCTCAGAAACTCACAAACATGGATGTAAAGATGCAAAAAGTTTTAAGTTCATCTATAAATGATTATGAAAAATGATCCAACAAATTCTACAGCGGTTTAAACATTTTTCCAAGACAACTAAAGAAGCAATCAAGATACCATTACTTCAGAAAGAAAAAGAGGATGAAAAATGAAAAACATACTAAATTAAAAACGAAGGCTTGATGAGATTTTGAAGACTACCCAAAAATCTAATCTCTACTGTTACAGTTTATTCCTAAAAATAATAATATACGATGGAATGCAAATGGTGTAGTTAGCATAAATAATGAGTTAATATAAGACTTATATTATTTTTAATGTTAGTGATTTATCACAAGACCGTACACCAAAGGTATTTTTCGTAGAAAAAGTATAGTATGCAACATGTTTAGAAACTTTTCTAGGTACTCATTTAATTAAATCGGCGTTTATCAAACTTAATACATAATATAGTATTATCTACTCCTACATTGCCAAGCTGTGACTTTATGGCGTTTGAGTCACAGTGGTTTTTAGGCTTTTTGGTCATGGTCTGAAGTTAGCTTTATTATAAATTGAGAAAAAGTGAGGTTAAATTCGGGTGACGGTTGATAGATGCAAATTTTTAACAAATGCAATTGGCTTTAAATTCTGTTTTGTGTTCGTCGTAGATAAAGTATATTATTCAACTCGTTTACAATCTTCTCTAGACAATCTTTTTTATTAAACACTCGCTTAAAAGCTTCGCTTCTGCTTAATTAAACTCATAACTAAAGTATCCTTTATAAAATTGAATACATAATAAACTATTATCTAGTCGTACATTGATGAGCTGTGGCTTTAAGCTTTTTTGTTACAGGCTGAAGTGAGCTTTATTAAATTGGGAAAAAGTGAGGTTAAATTCGGGTGATAGTTAACAGATGTCAAATTTTTAACAAATAAAATTGGGATTAAATTTTTTTATGTGTTCGTCGTACATAAAGTATAGTATGCAACTCGTTTATAAACTTCACTAGACACTAGACACTATTTTTTAAACACTCGCTGGCAAGCTTTGCTCATTCTTCATTAAACTCGTAACTAAAATTACGTTTATAAAACTTGATACATAATATACCATTAAATAGTTACATATAAATTTTAATTGTATTATATGTTTTAATATGTATTTATTATAAAACTCTTAATCTTAACATTTTTCTAAAAGTTTAAATTTTTATAAAGTTAAAATAAATAAATCTTAAAATAATAGTTTTAAAAATGTGACTTATAATATTTTTTGCAAACGACTAAAATGAGTCTTATTAATATAACTATTATTTAATATTTATTATAAAACTCTTAATCAATTTGCTAATATTTTAAATTATGATAAGGTTAAAATAAATAAATCTTTAAAGATTAATTTTGTAAATTTGACCTTTTTTATAGAAGACTAAATTTTCTACAAAAAATTAGATTTAACTTTCTATCTCTCTAGTCAACTGTTTACAAGTCAACAGAAAAAAAATAATTTTTTTACGAAATTTATCTTTCAAGGCTCACACACATGCAAAAGATTAAGTCACCGCTAGCTTAGCGGGGCAAAGCAGATACAGCTTTTCTAAAAAGCGTTAATCAAACTTTGAACCAATGAGAAACATGAATGTGGGGCTCAGTTTTAATGAATTAAAAGAAACATACTTTTAGCGACGTTGTACCAGTTCTTAAAATTAATATAAGGTGCTTAAAATTATAAATTTTTAACATGTAGAACAAGCTTTTCTATGAGAAAAAACGGAGCACTCTATAATCAGTATCTATTTTGATTTAAAATATTTTACAATAATAACTAATTTATCTTTTATTTTTTTTTTAGTACGGAGTGGTGGAGTAGATCTTCAAGGCCCGTTGTTTCTGCTGGAGCCGTCCTATCGAGTTGAGTTTAGCAACAGCTCGGGAGGGCGGGTTGATTGCACTGCTCACGGAAGTCCCTCTCCGGAAGTCGAGTGGGTATTTGCTGATGGATCTCCTGTACACCAGGTATGCCATGTCATTATTTTACTTTTAACATAAGTGCAAATTTTATATGAATTCAGGCTAGAAAGACCCGACAAAAAAATCTTTTAATTTGTATTTAGAAAGAAATTTGATTTTTTTTATTTGTTTTAAGTAGGGGAATGCAGGGGGAAACCAGGGGGCAAAATGTAAATATTGAGTTATTGTTGCTAAAAAGTGGTTCGAGTCCAAGTTATGGTGTCCTCTAATAAAATATTTTTTAAAGCACATACTCTTAACCAGGGCCGGAGGTTGGGCCCAGAGGCAGAACAAAATCAGCCCCCCGAACAATTTTTAATGTTTAACACTGAAAAAATATTTATTTCAGATAAATTTATATACGAAGTATCTTAATAAAGTAACAGGAATTTTTGTTTTTCTTGTTTTGCAAATTGGTAGCCGTATCCGATGTTGAAAAAATTTACATTTTTTGATAAAAATGGCCGTTAGGACGTTTAAAATGACAAGTTTCAACACTTTGCCTGTATTAATTCAAAAAAAGCTAAATTTTGTGGAAAAATAATCAATAGCCTTTGCTTCACGGCAATGCCTACTTAGTAGTTCTTGCACTTGTTCGTAAATTTTTGTTCAACAACAACACCGAATGACGCCTCACTGAGGCGGCCTCAGTATGAGTATTTGCCAGACATGATCTCGTGTTTCCAAAAATAAAGAAAACATTTAAGGGCTGTCGTTTTACAATCATTGATGAAATTAAAAGCCCATCATTGAAAGAGCTATAAGCTATTTAAACGAATCTCCATTTTTGGGGAAACATGTTATTATTTTTTTTACATCAATGTTATCCCCTTAAAAGGGGTTTAGGTATTACCAGAGCTGGGAGTATCTTAAAAAAAAGATACTTAAAAGTAACTTATCTAAAATACTTTATCTTAGATAGGTACTTTTTAGGTTGGACAGAAAGTATCTTTAACATAGTTATTTTGGAAAAGTACCTTGTAACTTGTATTTAAAAAGTATTTAAGTGACTCGGTAAAGTAACTAACTTACATTCAAGTAACTTAGATACTTTTTTAACAAAAATCGGGGGGATTCCAGAGTGATTTAAAGTAATTACCTAACCTACAACAATTAATAGTGGCAGTTCAGTTGGCAGTGCAAGCGTTTTGGTGTCAACGACAGGTTTAACGTACTAAGTAGTAACAGTACAAGTAGGTACTTACATTTTACGTTAAACCTGTCGTTGACACCAAAACGCTTGCACTGCCAACTGAACTGCCACTATTAATTGTTGTAGGTTAGGTAATTACTTTAAATCACTCTGGAAAGTAGTACTTACTATCCGTACCACGAATGTTGGGATCTACGTCCTACGTTCAATTTTGCCAATCTATTTCGCGACAACAATTTTAAAATAATAAAAAACTATTTAAATAGACTCATGGAAATTATTTTCTGCATTTATTTAAATACGACAAAATTGTTCAAATTTATATTAAATAGATTATATTAAAAAATTGAAATAAATAATTATTCAAATTATTGTACAATGTATAATAATAATATTTATTTAGCAAAAGCTACATACAAAATACAAAGTAAATTATGATTAAAATTAATAAAGTATATATATATATATATATATATATATACAGGGTGTTTCTTTTAACTTGAGACAGCTCAATATCTCGAGAAATACGCATTTCACGGAAAAATGTCTTAAATAAAAGATTAATGTGACTAAAGGGGACATTATTTGGTGCTACCGCTAGCCACCCCCTACCCCTTCTTAAGGGTGAAACGGGGGGTAACTTTGGAAAGTCAAATGGAATGACCCGATTTTTTTCACAGAGTTTGGTAGTACATAAAAAAATAAATAACTTTTATTTAAAACTTTTTTCAATTTATCAACAGATGGCGCTGTAATTCAAAATTTTAGAAAAATGAGTTTCCTTGTAAAATGTATTATTTGAAACGTTTGAAAAACAAAAATTAACATTAACAACAATAGTCGGCTATGAAAACAATTTATAACAAATGTTCGAAATGTCGTCATTCCATTTCAACACATTTTTTAATGCGGGTAATGAATTCTGGCACACAACGCGCCAACATGTCGGGCGGTATCGCCGCACAGGCGTTCCTGATCCGCTCCACCATGTCCTCCCAAGTTGTAGGAATTGCAGCGTAAACTTTTTCTTTCAAGTAACCCCACTGGAAGAAGTCTGGTGGCGTAAGATCAGGTGATCGAGCAGGCCAAATTACTGGACCACGTCTACCGATCCACCGCGGTGCACCGGCCATTGAACTCCCGATCCAACACCTCTTGAGCAATTGCCGAATAATGTGCAGGGCAACCATCTTGCTGGTACCACATGTTTTGGAGCCGTGCTAGTGGTACATCCTTCAAAAGGTCCGTCAGATCGTTTTCTAGAAAATTCCGGTACTTTTCGCCATTTAATGCACCGTCAATAAAGAAGGGTCCGATTAATCGTTTGCTTAAGGTACCGCACCAAACGTTTACCGACCAGGGACGCTGGTGCTCCACTTGGTGTCGAAATGGAAGGACGACATTTCGAACATTTGTTATAAATTGTTTTCAGAGCCGACTATTGTTGATATAATGTTAATTTTTGTTTTTCAAACGTTTCAAATAATACATTTTACAAGGAAACCCATTTTCTTAAATTTTGAATTACAGCGCCATCTTTTGATAAATTGAAAAAAACTTTCAAATAAAAGTTATTCATTTTTTTATGTACTACCAAAATCTGTGAAAAAAATCGGGTCATCCCTTTTAACTTTCCAAAGTTACCCCCCGTTTCACACTTAAGGAGGGGTAGGGGGTGGCTAGCGGTAGCACCAAATAATGTCCCCTTTGGTCACATTAACCTATTATATTAAGACATTTTTCCGTGAAATGCATATTTCTCGAGTTATTGAGCTGTCTCAAGTTAAAAGAAACACCCTGTATATATACAGGGTGGTCCAGGTTATAGTAGCAATAATTCACCATTCGATAGTCCATCGAAAAATAAGTCGACATGCATGGTAATTTTTTTCTCCAAAACCCCTCCTAAGGGAGATATTGCCCTTCAAAGTTGAGTTTTAAAAATTTTTTTTTTGCCATAACTCTCAGGAAATAAAAGCGTTTTTGACCAAATTTAGTACAAGTACTTATGAAATAGGTACTCGTTACCTGACGTAAGTAACTTTTGTCAAAATTGTCCAGTGACGTAGATACAGGGGGTTGTTTCACTTTTTCCACCCCATTTTTTACGCCACTGGATATTGGATTAAATTGACCTATTTTTCTAATTCCTTGTTCAATTTTGAGAAAAAAAGCCACTCTTGTCAAATTTTGATTTAAGGCTTTGTTTACGAGATAATTGAGTTTAAAAAAACATACAGTACTGCAAAGTTCAGTTTTAAATATCTTTTTTTTGTCATAACTCTAACTCTAAGATCGCTAAAGCGTTTTTTACCAACTTTGATACATGTACTTAGTAAATAGATACTCATTACTTGACCCAAGTAACTTTTGTCAAAATTGTCCATTGGCGTACATACAGGGGTTGTTTCACTTTTTCCGCCCAGGATTTCACTAAAAAATAACTCGACATGCATTGTTTTATTTTCTTCAAAACTTCTTCAGAAAAGACATAAAGCCCTTCAAAATTCAATTTTAAGATTTATCTTTTCGTATAAGAATATTTGATTAAATTTGGTGTAGGTATTTAAAATAGGTAATCAACACTTGACGTATTTTTAGTTAAAATTATCAAGTGGCCTGATGCGCTTTATCCAATAAAAGTAACGAGTATCTATTTCATAAGTACTTGTATCAAAGTTGGTGAAAAACGCTTTAGCGATCTTAGAGTTAGAGTTATGACAAAAAAAAGATATTTAAAACTGAACTTTGCAGGACTGTATGTTTTTTTTTAACTTAATTATCTCGTAAACAAAGCCTTAAATCAAAATTTGACAAGAGTGGCTTTTTTTCTCAAAATTGAACAAGGAATTAGAAAAATAGGTCAATTTAAACCAATATCCAGAGGCGTAAAAAATGGGGTGGAAAAAGTGAAACAACCCCCCTGTATCTACGTCACTGGAAAATTTTGACAAAAGTTACTTACGTCAGGTAACGAGTACCTATTTCATAAGTACTTGTACCAAATTTGGTCAAAAACGCTTTTATTTGCTGAGAGTTATGACAAAAAAAAGATTTTTAAAATTCAACTTTGAAGGGCTGTATCTCCCTTAGGAGGGGTTTTGGAGAAAAAAATTACCATGCATGTCGACTTATTTTTCGATGGACTATAGAATGGTGAATTATTGCTACTATAACCTGGACCACCCTGTATATGTATACATAAAATTTATATTTAATATATATATATTAGGGTGTTTATGGTAGGTTAGACGTTTATGGAGAACGGCAAAAGATATCGAATTGAAATTTTTATAGCAATTATAATATCATTTAAACTATTTTTCTAAATTATTTTGAACAAAATTCCTCTTCCGGTTTTAACGGAAGTGATATCAACTTTGTTATTTTAAATGGATCATCATAATTTTTTTTACATTTTAAAATTTCTACTATCATTCCTTATAAAATGGCCATACCATGTCCTATACCTAAACTTAATAGTTTTTGAGTTATTAATCTTTTTTGTAAAATTTGGTCAGTTTCACCCTCAACAAAAAAAGCGTATAACTTTTTTAATATAAGGTTTGTTGATATTCGGTTGGATTTTTGAAATCCTAAAGCACTGTTTTAAAGGTTCCATGTAAATTATTATAATATTTCTAAAAAGATACTTGTAAAAAAATAATGTGAATGTAACTAACTTAAACCAGCAATAAATTTTTTATTCTCAATGGAACACCCTGTATATTTTTACATAATTAAACATGAAATTATAATACCTTTTTATTGATATAAGCATTCCCTATACCTAAAGTTAATATTAAGAAAGATATTTTACAATTAACCTAATAATATGAAGAAAAACTAATAA